TGAAAATGTAGAGGCACAAGAAAGACAGTTGAAACTAGTCAAATGAGATTATATCAAACCGTGATCCTTCTACACATAGAAAACAACACAGTGAAGAGAAAATGTATAGAATGGGAAAAATTTTTAGTGCACTACTCATTTGACAAAGCATTGAAATCTACAATACACAAGGAACTAAGAAAAGTTCAATAACAAAATAATCCAATTTAAAATGGAAAAATAATATGAATAGATGCTTCTCAAAAGAAATCCAAATGGTCTACAAATTTATGAGAAATGCAAAATGCTTAGCTATTAGGGAAATACAAATCAAAACCGCAATGAGACATCATCTCAGCTATTATCAAAGTGAGAAAGAATGCCGAACATATCCTGGTGAAAATGTGGAGAAAGAGGAACTCATACACTATTGATGAGAAAGTAAATTTGTACAGCCATTATGGAAAATGATGTAGACCTTCCTCAAAAAATTAAAAATATTGATCCCCATTAGGAAGTATATATCCACGGGAAGTACACCGAAGTAACTTCTGAATTTCCATGCTTATTCCTGCCAAAAGCTAAGAACTGGAAATAACCCAAGTGTTCAGCCATAAAAATAATGAAATCTTCTGTGACAACGTAGGTAAAACTGGAGATCACTATGTTAAATGGAATTAGTCAAGTTCTGTAAGAAATGTATCACATAATCTCACTCATATACTAATTCCAAAAAGGTTGATCCAGTTCTCTTACATTTTCTCTATTTTTTCATGTAGAATTCTGTGTATTATTGCAACATAGGAATCCATTGTTTTGCATACTTAAGCTATTGTTCAATATAAACCTACCACTGTCAGCCTTTCTCCTACAGAAAAATATTTCAACTGAGTTTTAAATTTTCAACAACTACTAAATACTGTTTCATGAACAATTTTAATGCAATTTTAAATTTATGAAATTGAATTAGAAATGTATAAATTATAAATTATGTTTCTAAATTCATAAGAAAAATATCTTAATCCCTATATAAGGATTGGATAGACAGATTGGGAATTTATAAACCAAAGAAAGTTACTTATGAAATTAAGTACATATGTCGTCATGTAAGGACATCTTAAGTTAATTCATGTGTTTGTCTTTAATACATTCATGAAATTTATTGGTAAATACGTGCTCACATATCGATGACTGATAGTTAATTTTCTGTAATGCAGATATTAAGAATACTTTCTGCATTTTTAGTTACATAAACTTTGTGTTACAAATTTTCAAATCTAAGAGGCAAATTTCAATAGATAATCATTTATTTATTATCTTATCATAGATAAGCATTCTGGTATATTGCAAGTAGATAAAGAATCTTATGGAAAAATAAAATATGTTTTCGGGTACATAGAACATAGCATGTTTATGTATTTCTTAAAAAGAGGTATAATCATTTTGAGACTTTATTGTTACAAAAGCAATGTTTTTGAGAAATAGAAAACTCAAGATATTTAAATTTACTTAACTTTGAGATCAATCAGAATTGTGTATCTGAAAAATATGCCGCATTTTACAGCTTTTTAATTCATACAGACAGGAAGAGAGTTGTATGTCTTTTTAAGTTTAAAATTCTTAGGAGATTTCTTAAATTATAGAGTAAAACATTCCATTACTTCAATAGCTACTTCGATCCTTTTGAAAACCGTATCTGCAACCAAAACACCGGAATTTTACTGTTTGTGAATGACAAGGTGGAATGTCATGAATTACTACCTAGGACAACGTTTGTTAAATGAGCACTGGCAGTGCCATTAGTGCTTTGCTCTTCAACTCAAGTACAAGTCAGCTCTGCTTAAGTCACCATTTGCAGAAGCCAGAAATGAACCTACAGTTAAAATTGTGCCATAAGTTAGTTAGAGTGGAATTAGAAGGAAAGTGGGCAATTTAGGAATATAAGAATCGCTGTACCAAATCAGACCAATGGGTCTCCTGGTTTAAGGTCCAGCCCCCAGCAGCTGTACTTGTTATTTTCCACAGTTTTAAAAGAAAAGAGAAAGACTACATACTTCTCCTAGACAAGTGTGCCATCTGTGATGTGGGGAAATTTTCTTCTTGACCTCTCTCAAATAACACCCTAAAGCAGGAGCTTCCAACCCTAGCATGACATTAGTTCAGCTTGAATAGCTCTGGTTATTAATGATCTTTAATAAATCACCCAGTTCCTACATAAAATCAACTTGTCTATTAGGAAACTATCTCTAAAGCTCCTGAATCCTAAATTCATGGTTGAGTATGCCTGCTTATTGGAGAAAATATAAATTTATGACGCTTATTTGATAGAAGTTCTTGATGATAAAAATGCCTATAGATAACCACACTGCATAAATTTCTGCTTTTATTTCCGAAGTCATCTGTGGTAAGAGACTTTTGCCAAACATTCTCCGAATCCCCTAATCTTCTCAAAATCTTTAACTCGCAAATTTCTATTTATTAGTAATAAATTTCTGTTTATTAGTAATCTATAGATGCTATATGAATAATGAAGAATTTTGTGTGATAAACTTTTAGAAAAGTTCACCTGGAAGTTTTAAGGTGGACTGAAGCTAAGAAAATTTATGGATTACTAATCTTTATCAGTTTAGTCTTCTGTCTGTGATGGAACTACCTGCAACTAACTATAGGTTTTTTAAATTATTCTAAATACTACTTCAGCTCAATATTTCTAACATTCATGAACACACACAAGACTCCCCCATGAATAGAAAATTCATCCAAGTTTTGAACATTTTTTCTGATTTGTCATGTTTTAATGTAATCACACTCATATCCTAAACTTTTAACTGTAATTAATACTACTTCCTTCTGGTTTAGAGTGAAAACTACTAGATTTTTCATCAATCAAAGCAGATTTTTTTTGAACAGTTTGTTTGCTTGCTTGCTTGCTTGTTTTCTGAGACAGGCTGTCTGCACCCTGGGTGGCCTCCAGGCTGGCCATGAATTCTCTTTGTAATCTGGCTGGCCTCTGGAGCTACAGATAATCCTGCTTCTCTCTGTCAAATGCCAGGATTATGAACCTCATCCCTCATGCCTTTCCTTCCTTATTTAATTCTCGGTTAATTTTGTTCCCTTTTCCAAGCCTTCTTCATTTGCCTTTCTGGATAAGTTCCTTACTTCCACCAGAATCCTATTTCTCCATGTAATTTCATTTCAATCATGCAATGACTGCTACCTCTTCAGAAAATTTATTTCCCTTTGTTTAGAGTTGGTTTAGAATACCTTGCATCATTGGTTCTTTCTTTCTATAGATGTCTTTGCTTATTTTTTGGCTGAGAAAAATTATGTCTTCCATACTTATAGCCTAAGTTAGTATCAAATTCACAGTAACAACAACATAAAGATATATTAATGAAGCTGGGCATGGTGACACACGTCTGTAACCCCAGCATTTGGGAGGCTGAGGCAGGAGGATCGCTGAGAGTTCGAGGTCAGCCTGGGCTACACAGTGAGTTCCAGAACAGTCTGAACTACATAGTGGGACCCTGTGTAAAAATAAATAAATAAATAAAAGATATATTAAACAGTAATCTCTAAATCTGCAGATGATCAACTACTAAGAGCCTCTTTGAAAAATCTTGAGTTTCCATTTATGAGACCTTAATAATGGTATTCATCTAGAACTATACACATGTAATAAACAAAAAATCTAAATATCTGAAAATAGAGTCAATGCTGATTGCCTTGCAAGTACAAGGTCCCAAGTTCAATCTGTGTGCCAAAAAAAAAAAAAAAAAAAAAA